GCCCCCATCCTCTGGGCATAGGGGTTTGGGCTCCATTCCCTGCCTATGAGGCGATTGGCTCTGGCCCTGGCCCCGAACTCACCCTCCCCAAGTACCCCTGGTTCCTGCTGCCTCACTAACCACTTCTCCATCCAGGGCTTAATTGAGCCCTAGGCTTAGTACATCTGCTGTGAAAAGTGATGTTTGTTTGTTTGTTTGATATCACCTTTCACAGCAGACTTAGCCGCTAGCAAGTCTTTTTTTAAAAAAAGCAACCAAAAGACACAATAAGAAAAAAAGACAAAAACATACAAAGCACCTTGTGTGTATTTCTATTCTGTTTAGGTCCAGTAAAGAATAGAACAACTGTACATTATTTTTATTACTGAGTCTGCAAACAAATTACAATGATTTGGACATGTATATGTGGATATTTATTTTTCCTAAAGTTAAGTATTGTAGGAAAAATTGTCAGAGAGGCCACCAGCAAGACTTGGTGGCCGCACTCTGACGCCACCAAAAAATTTGTTATGCGAACCCCTTATGCTGAGAAGTACAAGGGACTGCAGTCACAAAACTCTGAGATTGTGTATGAGCATGCCCTTCAATTAACAATTGTCAGGATGAGTTAATCAGAAGCCCTCCACTTAAGACAAAAAGGGATTGTGAATTTGTCCAAGAGTCTGGGCTGAGTTGATGGTGGTCTTTTGTTGAGTGGTGTTTGTGTGGGTGCAGGTGGGAAGGCAGAAGAGGAAAAAGCAAGCAAGCCAAGCATTAACTGGTGAGTCCAATATGTAAGCCTAGAAAAAGCCAGGCAGAGACTTTTAGGGTCTGTTCAGTTGGCTAAAGAGACTGGGGGCTGTAAGCTAATGAACTGTTCCTGTTATGCCTGGTTTTTCCTAGACTCAGAGATGGTGTAGGGTCCTTGTAAATAAACAAGATTACATCCAAGAAAATACCATACTCCATCAATTTGTAACCAGCTAGAACATCCCCAAAGCCCCAAACTTTGACTACACAGGTCAAACAGGGGCAATGCTTCTAACAAACCTATCCTGTAGAGCAATATTAGGTACGTTTGGAGTTAAAATATACAAGGACACTTCCTTCCGAGCCTGAAGAAATGTTCAAATGTTAAGTTCCTATATCTGTTAAACTGTCTCACAACAGAGAAATGCCCTTACAGGAAGAGAGCTGAAGTTTCTGGTTGAATAGGTTAGACTACACAATGGTGACTTGAATTACACACACACACCCCCTAAAACCACTAGCTGATACACAGATAACTTCCTCCTTGCACATACTATAATTTTGTTTCACAATGAAAAATGTTTGAAAGCTATGACTCAACAGGCCTAATTCGATTTACTGCTGCCACTTAAGGAGGGCTGTCAGCTGTAAATTTTATTTTTTCCTTATCCTGATTGACTAATTAACTTATGTGGACATCAAATGACATCAAAATAGGCAAAGCTGACAAAAGGGTAAGCTCTAGCCAGTTTACAGTAGCAATCAAAATATATTTTAAAAAATGGAAGGGAATGATTGCTCTGGGGAATCTCCGTTTGCAATTGCAAAAGTTTTATTTGTACTATACTTCTTCCTTTCAAATAATTCTCTTTGCTTATTTTATTCAAAACTAAGAAAGCAGACATTAAAGTGATGACATCTGCTGCTGCAAATGGAGAAAACCCTGCAGCCCTAAACAAGTACTATGGGAAACAGGGGGAGGGGGAGGGGGGGTAGTCAGGGAAAAGAGGTCACACTTACCTGAGTGCATGTGCTTGATGATATAGTCAAATTTTGCTTCAACATATATAGTCAGAAAAAAGTGAACATGTGCCAGTGTATACAAAGTCTTTTTTCTTCAGTGTATTTCCATGTAACTTGTGATACAGATTCACATAATTCTTAATGTGTTACAGCTGGGTTTTCCTTGTGGCAAGAAAAAAAGTCATCCTTTTTATAAAAAAAAAAAAAAAAAAAAAGACTGACATCTCACCAGTCTTTTACTACAAACCTGTAAAAGCTTGTAGACTGGTGAAGAGTTGTTTGAATTCCCTGGCAGATAGGCAGCTAAGTAGGATCTATTAAATGCTTTGAAATTTAGAGATGAAAAATGCAATTATTCGTTTAACTAAAAATGGTTTACTAAGCAAGAATCAAATTAAAACCAGCAGTTAATATTTTAGACTTATAATATTATAGATCAGTAAGTCAAATATAGCTACTCAATTGCTAGTTAAAAACTGCTTTTTCGTGTATGAATTTCTGTGCAACAGTAAAAATCATCATCCCTAGTAAAAACTGTTAACCATGGGTTACAATCCCATAGTATGAGAAATAATTTAAGGACCAACTTAGACCATACATTAATATTTATATCTGTAAGAGATGTTATTACATTCCTTGGATGAAAGAGAATTATACATCTTCAGAAAGCCTATGATTCCATTTGGGGTTTCTGTAGCCATAGTAACATGTAGGTAGCAGAGCTACTTTTAGCCTGTGGGTTTTATTGTTCCAGTATTAAAGAATTAGGTTCCAAAAATATAATCCTGGCCACTGATGTAATTCTAGAATACTGGCCTTTTCCTTGCACATTTAAAAGCAAGTCACGTGTAGGAGCCTTCTGACCATAATATATCCACCTAGCACAAACACATTCAGTATAAAATGCCATAGTGTATATTGGGTCCATAACCAAAGCAGTACATGGAATGTTCTGCACCATAAAACGTAAAATTAGAATAAAGATAAAGCAAGCATGATGATTAAAGAAACTAGACAACAGAAGTGACCAGCTCAGAAAAACATGCCCCCCTCCCCCCCCAAAAAAAGTGAAAAAAAGGTCAACTGATCATAAAATACTGACCAAAGTGAAAGACTGCTCATACACAGACAAATAGGCTTTGGTGGACACCTTCAGGGAAAACACTCTACAGACTGGGTTTCTAAACCAAGAAGTTCTTGCGCACAGCTCAACAAGACCTAGAGAGAAATAAAGGCCAACCCAATTAACTCCAAATGCCTTAGAAAGACATAGCAGGACAGAATTTTAACGCATTACCATAGAATTAATTTTTCGTAGTAATTAAAGATGGAGGGAACTTAAGTCATCAAGTCAAGTGCCCACCACTAGTACATGCTGTTTGAGTAAAGCAGGTTGATTGAACGCTGTATTTGCCTATGTCCGTTTAAAAATTCTAGATGGTACTATAGGAACAATACAGATCTTAACTGCCAACTGAAAATGCAAATACAGTAAAATTCTGTCAACTGAGGAGTTATGCATTACCAGAAATCTGGTCAATCTATGCACTACCAGTATTGTTAGTGACTCAATAAGTTTAGCCCAAAGTACCATGTTAATACTAACATGTTGAGCAGGGAGCTAGCAAAATATGTATACGAACAGTGTTTTGAAAAAGACCAGTAATTACCTCATTCAGTGTTGTGAGGATTAATTTGTAGAGCACTTTGAGTTGCTCTGTCAAAAGACACTGTAGAATGTCAACAGTCTTAAACTGCATAAATATTTAAGATTAAGCATTGACCCGTTACATTTAATTGAATTTAAATAATCCAAATAAAGAGGAACTGTTTTGAAACTTCCACAGGTCACAGAAATAAGCCTAGTTCAGTGGTTTTAACTTGTTGCATTTGCTTTTGAGGTCTCTCTGTTTCTGAAAAACTTCACATAATTTGAATAAAATGGAAGACTACATAAATCTTATATCTTCATGTCGAATTACAGCCCACCAGGATGACATACAACACTTCATCTTGTTCTGAGTGGCTAAGATCCTTATAGATCAAGACAGAGCAATGGACTCTGAAGTCATTTGTATTGGCCACAGCAGCAGAATTAAAAATAAAGGCAACCTCATTTCGAACTCATTTTGCCATGTTTCACTCATGGACCAAACTTAATGAGTTTTTGCTTACCAAAAAAAAAAAAAGTTGGACATCTTCCTTCTCCCATGTAATAAATTGATAATGGCTTTGACAGAAGATAGAGTTGCTTGTTGATGATTCCAGATCCTCTGACTGGTGTACACGAGGAAAAACCTACATTCCCTTCCTCTTTTCTATTTCGTCTGGCTCAACTTAGTTTCTATAATGTTCAGTTGAAGCACATCAAACTTACACAAATAGTGGGTATTTGCAGAAGAAGCAGCTCTGACATCAAAACCCTGCAAAATGCCACTGATTCTCCCATAAAAAACAGACTCTGGTTAGTGAAAGAGAGATGCTGGAAGATAAAGCAAAAACCCTCCGCTGAGAATGAGAATGGACATTCCTCTAGAATTTAAAAATGGAGAAATACAGTAGTAAGAGCAAAAGTGCATAAGAATCTTGATAGTTCCAGTATTCCTGTTACAGAGATTGGGAGTAGGTGGGGGGCTGGGAAGGACAGTTATTGGGATACCAATGGCTTTTCAGGATATATTTGTGTTTTACTATAAATCATCCTGTATAACAACTGTTATGGACACTTTATAAAGGTATGTATGTAACTATAAATGGCATTAGATCAGTTTGTTTTTTAAACTCAACACGCACAGGATGAACAGATTGGTGTGCAGTCAAGGAAGTTTCCCCCAACACCATGCTGGCATAAACCTTTGAGGTTTCTTTATCTCCCTCTGAAGCACTGAATAGGGACTACAAAAATCAGGTGGGCATATCTTTCCTGATCAAAATTTCCTGCGGAGACAGGCAGGGGGAAGGCAAAGCATGCAGAGAAACAGTAGACTTCTCTAATCCAAGTCTATATTTCTCATTCCAAAAGTCCTCTCCATGGCACATCACACTATCTACCCCTCCTGCTTTTTAAAAATAAAGTGTAGAATTGGGAACCAGTTGATAAAAACAGGTGTTTTTTTTAAAGACCTTTTTTAAGGTTTTTTAAGGAAGGAACCAACCATTTAATATTTGCACAATTACACAAAACCACAGTGTTTAAAGAATTTGAGCATAAGACACTGTACATAGTTAAAGAACAAAGGCACCCCAAGCAAGTTTTCACTTGTTTTATTTAGGTGAACATATATATGGTCCACATACTCAATGAAAACTGTAAATCATAAAATAATTTGATGACTTACGTTGGAAAGGAATTAGCAGTACCATCGGTTAGTTAAATAACAAAAAATGCCTTTATAGGGCACATATATTAAAAGAAATACCACTACCAAATGCCTGGATAAAAATGCCATAAATTACTACAGAGGATGAGAATGGCTTTGTAGGATGGGCTGGGGTTTTCAGAAATTTAAAAAAAAAAAACCCACAATTTTTTTTGCTAAATACTTTGACGATTAAGGTTACAAAAAATACAACTGAATAAGATACTGCATAGTATTTTAATTAAGATAAAGAAATTGATATTGAGCTGTGTAAAGTAACACAACATCTCTGCTTCCATTTCATTTCTGAATAGAGAAATCTAAAATTTAAGAACAAAAAATAGGTCTAGAGTATTCTCTAAAAGACACACTTTGGGTTGAACGTATAGTACTACGAAAATACATATCTTCCATTCTATTTAATAATTTACTTCAGTTAAAAAGTTGTGAAATTCTCATCACAAGAAGCTTATACAAATTCATGACTTTAGTAAATTAACAAAAAAGATTAAACATCTTCTTTTAAACAACGTTTAGCCCTGTTGTAACAATTATACAAGGGGGAAAAAAGAGACTACATTTGTATGAAGGAGTACAAATTTACACACATTTTACAGAGACTTATACCCTACACATCTACAAAATTCACAGTTATAATACAAGCAGTACAAGGCTGAGAATAAAGCTGTTCAATACCAAAAAGTTTTCTACTTTAAAAAAAGATAAACAGGAAGAGTTTCAAATTTCTGCACCAACTTCAACATTCTAATCAGACCAAACTGTGCTCACACAAACACCCCTCAGCAAACACAAACGGCTTTCCTGGTCTGGTGGAATAGTGAATTGCCAAGCTTCTTCTGTCCCCTCAGGCTTCGCCGCATGGTGAGCTTGTTTGAGTTTTTGCGCTGTGGAGTTGTGGACAGGCTTTCTGGCTGGACGCTAATGTTTCGACTCAGGCTACGTCTTGGCTTTTTCAAAGCTGGGCCAGAATTAGATTCTTCTAATGTCCGTTTAAAGTTTCCTGTAGGTGTCCTCTCTGCTTCTTGGGATTTTGTTTGGCCATTAGGAGACATCTTTAAGCTTTTTTGGTCCATGCTTGAATTTGCTGAGTTGGAAGGGGAGAGGGTAACTGACAAGCCATTGCTGTAAGATTCATGAATCCTCAAAGCTAGTGTTTTGCTACAATTCTCCTCCTGTGGGCCTGGATCCCTAGAGGATGCTACCGCCAACGGTATACTGCTTTTAGCAATCTCACTGGACAGCTCGGAATATTTATCCAAGATCACATTGCTATGCATGAGAGAAGGAACAGGCTCAGAGGAGTTCAGTCGTGGCCACAGATCCTCTTCTAGAAGCTGGGATTAAAAAAGAAGGAATTATTTATCCATAAATATCATTACTCCAATTGTGTTACCACAGACCATGGCTAAAGTATGTGGGTGAAAGATACTATACATGACAGCAGATACTAAAGCTTCTTGGAGACTGGTCTAACTCCAGATCCAGATGCAAAACACACCTGAACATTTTCACAGCGGAGTTCAGGCTCTGGATCTAAACTTGCCAGTTTCAGCCCTCCAACCTTACTCAAGTTTGTTAATTTCCATCAGTAAGTCTATGATGACATGTCTGCCATTAGATTTTTCAGAGACCTGTCTCGCCTCAGTTAGCATACGTGTTTTCATTCTCACTGGCGTAAAGTTAATAAGTAAGTCACCGAACTATGGGACCGCCTTGCATCTTTCATTACTTTGGAATACCAACATCGAAAAGGATGTCTGCACTGAATGCCGCACACTCCAGTCTTCATCAGTATCCTCTGCAAAATGAAGGTGCCAATGCTCTCTTTCAGATGTTTTGTGAGATTGTTTCCAAAGTGCTTTGAAGATTAAAAATGTCATTGAATGGCCAAGTATTATTAGGACAAACAGCAAAAGAACAGGCTCTATCTCCTGACCTGAATTACACTTAGACTTTTTAGTTACCGCTGAACAAGGTATCAGGTGCCTGAAGCAATGCTCTGTTGCTGGAGGAGTTCTAATGGCGTACAAGGAGATGGAATAAGGGCCTCCCTGGACAATACTACACTAACCTCTGAATTTACGTTTGTTGCTTCCAATCCTTCTAGGTTAGTAACACACTTATTCCTTACAACTGGGGAAGACTGAATAAAAATTAGGCTCTGGCCTTTCAAAACTCTCTTTATTCAGCAAAGTAAATTTGGCTGTTTTCTGCACAGCAAAGTTATTCTGTAATTTGAAGAGAGAGAGTGTGGTATAATGCACTGGAAGCCAGGAACTTCCTAATTCTAATCCTGGCTTCGCTGCTCTCTGTGGCCTTTGGTAAATCATTTCTATCTCAATTTCATCATCAGGAAAATAGAGAAGACTTCACTATCTCACAGTAGGGCTGTATAAACTGCTATTTATGCAGTGCCCTTTACATGTAAATGTTGACACAATTATTAAAAGATTCAAATTGTGGAGAAATTGCTGTTTATTCAATAAGAGACCTTCAAAGCATTTTTTCAAGGCCACATCATTTTATGTATTACCAACGTAAGGACAATAACCTAATGACTATCTTATTCCAGAAACTGTATTATACTGCAAACTAAATGCACCTGCGGTTACTGCAGTTGAAACTGAACGCATTGAAATAATACAAAAGATCTCAAAATCTAAGTACTTTTGAAAATCAGACCTTGAGCAACCGTAGCCCAATTTGAAGTCAAAGGGGCCTGTTGTTGCTCAACACATCTGAAAAATTAGACTCTACGCTTAAAAAAACACTTCAAAAGACAGGCTGGCGTATCAAAGGGATTTTTTTTCCAGTGAGAAACCTGGACATTACTGAAAGATTATTGTATCTTTGATGATCCAATGTAAACCAAATTTAAATAGTTATTGCAAAAAAACAAAAAGGATAAATTCAAACTTTTAAAAGATGTGAATTGAACTGTTTGAGATGCTATCAATAGATCTGATGACAGACATTTATGGACAGTATTTTAGAAGTTATTCTTTCACTCAGTTCTAGTGACAACACAAAAAAACCCATGTAGTTTACACATTCGGAGGTGCTTTGTGAACTGTTGCCTAATAGACTCAATTATACTTTTGAGACTGGCTCTTTGTTAGACTTTTAATCTGGCATATCTTGCTATGCAAGATCCTCAGTGCTATGGCTCTCATCACCGATAGCCTTGCTCGATATGGATAGCTGCAGTAACACAATGATTTGGGGTACTAAAATGGAAAAAATTAGGAGAGGGAGTACAAGGGAATTTAGGGTGGAATGGGGTAATGAGAAGGGGGGGGAAAAAAAAAGGAACCGAGGGTGTGGACCAGTCAAAATTCATTCCTGGGCAATCAGCTGCTGACAGCAATAGGAAATTGTTGAGAGTTTTTTTTTAAATCTTAGGACTATTTCAAGGATGAATCAGTTACAGTTGGCACCAAAAAGATCTGACTCAGAAACAAGGGGATACTCTTATTTAATTCAGGAACTTGGCTTTGGCCTCCATTTTATTTCAGAAATAACCATACTTAGGAGACCTGAGATTGTTAAGACCCAAAGTTACAAATGCCTCTTTAGTTCTTTGAAGATAACAGACAAAGGTGTTGGTTCTTATCAATACTCTCCACACTTAAACTTTGTCTACATTATGCAACTTTTAGTGACATGGCTGTGCTGCTAAAAGGCACGCAGTGTAGCAGAGCTCTCCCGCTGACAAAAAACTTCCACCCCCAACGAGCAGCGGTAGCTTTGTCAGCAGGAGAGCGCTCCTGCCGACAAAGCCCTGTTCACACATGTGCTTTTTTCGCAAAACTTTTGTCTTGGTGGGGGGCAGGGGGGATTTAAACACCTCTGAACAACAAAAGGTTTGTGGTTCAGTTGCCAGTGTAGACAAAGCCTTAAAGGCCGAGCCATTTCCCTCCAAGACACAATCCCCAAGAGTAAAATGTAAATAAAAGGAACCATCATCAGTAACCTCTTGCCACTGGCTCACATCTAACACCCATGGCATGCACAGTTTTGATGATGGATCTCAGGTTGGGAAAAAGGCAATTACAATCCATGAAAGCATTAACTATCTGGCTAATTCAGATCAGGTACTTCCCTCTGGTTTTAGGTATTGTGATACTGATCGTCCTTCTGGTATGGTTATTAACAGGAGCAAAGACAGATGTTTTTCAGATGGGAGATAAATACTTGTAGTGTCTCTCCATACATGAAAATGCCAGATTCTTTACATAAAGGAACTCTTACTTAGAAGGGACAGAAATAAGCTCCATAAGAGTAAACAGACCTGAACTCCTAGTGTGACATCTCACTTTCTCATTGGGGAGAAGTGAATTTCAAGACAATAATATGACCACCACTAGACTCATCTCACACATGGATATTCATATCTAGGATCCTCCCCTCCCCTCTTGTACCATGATTTCTTCCAAATAAGCTGCATCCCAGGAAGAATTTGGCCTCCCCTACTTTTACATTACCATGTAGGAGCAAGGCTCCAATTTTTAAACTCCTTAAATTCTGTAATCAGTGGCTGTCTCCCTAATATTTCCCCATATACATTTCTCAGAAGAAAAATTATTTGGAAACAATTCTGTGGCTATTGTGAAAGTGCAACGTTTACTCTGATGGGAGGAATTAGTAAATACAGTCAAAAGTCAAACATTACTGGAGTTATGTATACTTCTGCAAAGGTTAGGTCATCAACACACTGGTTAAAAGCGATTGGACAGCAGATCTGAAAAAATACGTCTTAGAAAAAAGGGTTTTGTCCACTTCTTGACGTGCCAGAAATACTGGTTGTGAATCTATACAAATGACTTCCATTTGAGACTGAATATTTGAGATTTTAAATTTTGAAGGATATAGTAAAAACCAATCCATTTCTCACTGTCTCATAATACAACAACTCAGTCAACTTTAAGTGAAGAGCAGGTAAATTTATATACCAAATAAAATACTTTATATACCTTAGTGTATAAAATACTCTGTATTCCGGTAGAATTTACTGTCAGAGTCAAATAATGGATTTTTTTTAAAGGCCAGAGTATGATTATCACAGGGATCAGGAAGCAATTACCTTCTCCCTCATGTACAGCATTATACAACTGGGTGGATTATGTATGGTTTGGGCAGTGGGGGTTGCCTGCTTCTGGAAGATCAGGTATTAGTTATTGCAGAAGGCACAAGTCCAACTTTTACCGTTTGAACCAGCAGGAAAAATTCTGTCCCTCATGGGCTATTTTAATCCTCCCTCCAAAACGGAATTGGTTTCTTTTTAAAAGGCTGAATCAAGGCACAATGCAGTCTTCATTTACCCACACTCTGGTTCCCATGCTAGTTAATTTTAGGTTTAACGTAATTTGAATTTCATAGAAAGAAAATGAGTCAGAGGTGCCTCCTGCGCTTGAATTTTACCCAGAAGATGTATTTAGAAGCAGTTTGCTCTTTAAATGGAAAACCCTGTTGGTCAACCATTACATTAACCCGAGTGTGGAAATCTGCTCTTCTCACCATTATTGTGTCTCACTGAAATGAAAAGCTGCTCCCATGCCCATTGCAAAAAAGGTTACTTATTAGTCAAGCCAGAATAACGACCTGAAAAATATAGGGAAGCTCCTTTTTGGCTTTCACAAAAATACACAAAAAGGGACACAGATGCAGAGTCATTCCATTTATTCTAGTCTGTCTAGAGATGTTTGTTTTTCCTTAAATGTTTCAATATTATTCTGATAGGACAGTTGCCCTGTTTTCTCTCTCTCTTTTTCCACTTCCTGCTTCCACTTTTTCCTTTCCTTCCACTTTTATACCGATTCTGTGAGAATAGATGGTATTTGTTACTAAAACAGCAACCTATACTAATGCTAAAAATTATATTTGTGGTATCTGTGTAGTCATTTCAGTTTTAAAAGAAATCAAGTGGGATAGGAATGAATTATCCTAAATAAAATAAATATTTTTAAAATTATAAAATAAAACTGTGAAGCGGGGCAAGAGGAAAAAAGTGTACTTAAAATGGAACCAGCAGATTTAATGGTAACCGTTCTATGCCTGTGGCCAACTGAATTTTACCATCAGGGCCCTGCTAAGAAAAAGAGGACATACAGGCCTTGTATACATGAGGAAATTGACCAGAATGGCTACAGAATAATAAGCTATTCTGCTATAGCTCCCTGTGTGGACACACTGTTCTGGAATAAAAGAAAATTTCTTCCAGAATAATTACCTCACACACAAAGTGGAGTAATCATTCTGGAATAAAGTCACTTTTATTCCAGAACAATGTGTTCTGGCCACATGGGGAGCTATTCTGGAATAGCTATAGCAATATAGCTTACTCCGCTGTACCTATTTCAGTTATTTTCCCTATATAGACAATCCCTAAAACAAAATAAAAAGTTACCTTCATCTCAGTACTAAACATCACTTTGAACTGTTAAAAGTAACAGTTTAGCACTTACCTTTGAGATGAAAGACCATTTGCCTTGATATGAGTCTAACATGTGCTGCGTACTCCAAAACAGCAAGAGGACTTTAAGGGGGGGATTTGCAGTCCCTTAAAAACAGCCTAGCAGGCCCAGCAGAGAGCTGAAGGGCAGTTTGAAAATGGCCATGAAAGGAATGACACTCCTCTTCTGAAGTTTTGACCTAGAGCTTCCATTGCTTTTGGTATTGGTCTGACCATTTGGAGCACAGATTTCTACACCACACAGAATGTACTGAATTTATTTACGTGAGTGAAAAGGCGGGAAGGGATATTTAGAGTAGTTATTTGAAATGCTAGTTCTGGGACATTTTCAAATCAACATGACCCAAAGTTTACTTGACAAGGGCTGGAAATAATTCAAAAGCTGTACACAAAAAACCACTGACTGAAAAACAGGAATAATTACAATTCAGATAATCTCTCGCCACAGAAGACTTTGGGATTGCTACCCTTTTCAGTGGATTTGGGGTTCCTCCCATGCATTCTCCTGCTGCTACTGAATGGAAAAAACCCCACTTGCTGTTTTATTAGCTGTCTGTCTCTATATCAACCAAATGTTAAGTACTCTCATCCTAATCTTTGATTTTCAATTTTACTTTACGTAAAGGATGGCTATTCAAAGACATTAGAGAACAAACATCCACTCACAATTATATCCTAGTCTTTAACAACAAAACGGTAAAGACCTTCCAAAAACCTCCCTTCTATGTTAATGGACAAGGGTCTAATTCAAAGGAAGATCCCTGTAAAAATAAGGCTGTCTCTTTTAATGAAGAGAATTTGAATTGACAGATAGATGCAGATATGCTCTCCCAACCTGAAAATAAAAGTGCTCTTAAAACAACTAATCATTTCTCGGTTTATGTAGCGTAGGGAAATGCAACTACTCATTAGGAAGGATGCTGTACATATAATTTAAATACTGACCTTTTTAAAACAAAAATACACCAACCACCACCATTCTATCGTTATAGATTTCAGTTGTTAGCATTCAACTGGTAATTCAAAAAGTGTCAAGATTTTAAGATTACGCAGAGACTTTGAATGTCCCCAAGTCCAGAGCTCATACTTTTACACTCTTGATTTATATTCCCAGGACTAAACAACTGAAGAACATATGCTAAAAGGAGAAGTGTGTGATCTTTCTGAGTCACATAAGAAGGCTGCCTCTCTCTAGTGAGAAGAAGCAGGAGGTGGATGAGGAATTAGCTACAAATTTTGTGGGTTTCATTCTTAAAATTCTAAATAATTTTACCTTGACAGGAGGGGTACAGCAGCGGGACGGTGTCATCATGCACATATCAGGACTGCTGTAGCAAGGGCCTTCTGCCAAGTTGAGATACAATTCCTCTTCATTTTCCCAGTTGCTCGGATCGTCCAGCACCGGCGCAATGCAGATTACAATAGCACTAGTATTATCTGCACGAAGCGTGCGCTGCCTCCACCGACCTAGTGCTCTGTTCACCAGCATTTTGGCACAAGACTGTCTGTGTTCTCCCTTAACGTTTAAAGGAAAAACAGAGAAAACCCATCACCATTATACTGTGATCGTAAAGTGAAGAAATTATATGGCACAGTTTGCAATTCTCTACCTCTACCTCATGGTCGTAAAGCATCAGAATTCAGACAAACCTGCATCTAGCAAACAGACAGACAGAATGGCAGTCAAGAACTGTTTGAATAAATTAGTGTGCAAACACCAGTTACAGTGAAACTTTGTTCATAATGACGTCACATGGAGGAAACTCATTTTACTAATTTTTTTTTAAAAGGTAACTGAAGTGGTTATACATTTGTACCTACTCATTGTGACCTGTCCGTGACTTTTACTAAAAATACCCATGACTAAAACATAAGCTTTATCACAATAAGTTTACCATCACTGTAATAGCTCCATGTATGTTGTAACAGTATTATTAAGTAATAACACTCGATGTCACAACTGCATATACTTTTAAAGTGTACGGCAATAGAGTAACACAGCAAAAAAGTGAGTTAATAGCTATCATGTGATCTTAAAGTAGTTGACAACATAAACATGCCCTCACCATAAAATACTGTTTCTCCTCATGATCCTGGCACATAGAAATAGCATCTTGAGGTGGGATCATGTTCCACAGTCCATCACTGCCTAGGATAATGTATTTGTGCTTCTGGGGATCAAGCGTATATACACTAGTGTCTGGTTCAGGAGACACAACAAATTCACCACTGTAGAAATCGTAACTCCACAGATCACCTGGGGAGGAGGAAAACACGAAAATGTTTAATAAAAGTCAGTCAAGGGTCATCATTGTCCCCTTATTATAGCAGTCTTCAACACCAACCTTCAGTGAAATGCCTGTAAAGTCTATCAATGCAACTCCCTTAGTGAGACACTCTACTTATGAGGTTTTGTTGTTGGTTTTTTAATTGCTCGTTTCTGGCCATCCACTCTTTCAATAGTATGTTCTGATTGGTTTATTTTTTACTTCATTTTAAAAACATGTTTACAAGAGGTTCTCTACTCCCTGTTGACGTTTGTTAGGGTCCTTTCAGGAAGGGAAAAACTGACTCAATACACAGGAAACAATGAAACTGACTATACTCTAATATGTCAAATACGCTAAGTAAAACTGTTGCAAGAAAGAGAAGTGCTTTTTCCCCATTAATTTCTTTCAGTTATAGTGATTTTAGATGTTACTTGTAAAACCAGTAAAATTTTCAGACAAAAATGTGGTTTTCCAAATTGGTCCCTTTAAATCAAGGAGCGCCATCATTCTGTTATGCTAACACTTTCTTGCCTTCTCCTTCCAGGCCTGACAGCATAGTTTCTACAAGGCTAACCTCTACATCTCTTCTCTTGGACATTACCTGCCCTATATGTAGCATCCTATAATTGTAGAAATAGAATGAAAAGTAATTTTCTTATAGAAAGTATCTTCCACTTGATTCTAGTAAATAACTCCTTACAAAGGCAACTGAAGGTATGAAATTAACAATGAATCCAATAGAATATTTACTACCATTTTCCAGACCCTGGCAGGTCTCTTCCTGTATGCAACACGTGCTTTAAAGTAGAAATTCATTCAATATCAGAGGGGGGAAGCATTTAGAATCTAAAGAACTTCATTTTAAAAGCAAGTTTTTCAGCTTGAGACTTCAAAAAGTGTAACTGTTTGTGTCCTTTTAACAGTTCTTTTTGACATCTTCTTTCCCCACTCCACCATGCCCCTTTAAAATAATAAAAATAAATTCTTTGTCTCCCTGCTTCCTGGAGTAGGAACTTTTCCTTTAGCTCCACTCGGCACTATCAACCAGTACAAAAGGTTTTTCAGAAGAACAAGGAATACTTCAAATCAATTACTCCACTTCACTATAGCGAACATCAATGGGCCATCCTCCTTAAAGAGCCAATTCACCTTCACAGCAGCAGCAGCAGATAACATACACATGCTTCTACTAAATGCTAATTAAAAGCCTTGCCTACTTGAATAGAGGCACTCTCTCCATCAGCAGACTAGCACAACAAAGCTCACTGGCTGGGAACAAGATGAAAATAAATACTGTCGCAGTCAAGCTGAGCTCCAGCGCACCAATTATTGTGCATGTAATTGCCTCTAAAAGTCTCTATAGAGCACGAGCTTTTGTTCAAATCTTGCCTGCCATTGCCACAACAGATAAAATCTTAACTCCTCATTTATTTTATAATCTTTTTATAGCTATTTTAGGATCTGTTCCTGCCTCCTATTAAAGTCTTGCCATGGAAGTCAATGGCAGCATGAGACTGAAACATGGGAACAGTTCTTTTGCTTGATTGTTTTAACTGATCCTTGACAGATCACTATTGTTTTTGTCAGTATTGCTTCTTTACCTCTTCGAACTAAACAAGCACAGTTATAAACAATTTTGTAAGGTGCTTAGCCACTACAGTGGCCTTGCATCCATGTATTTAAGTTTACACAAATAAACTTCAGAGTTAGAGCCGTGTTAGCCTGTATTTGCAAAAAGAAAAGGAGTACTTGTGGCACCTTAGTAAATTGGTTAGTCTCTAAGGTGCCACAAGTACTCCTTTTCTTTTTACAAATAAACTTGGACATATTATTTCACAGATTTAAACAAAAGATATCCAATGTTCATATGTTGTCTACAGAGAAGGTAGCACTTCCATAACATCTAGACCAACTTTGAATGACCATCTTCTATATCTGAGAGGCAAGAGTACAGCTGAAGATGGAAAGGAGTGGATTTTTTTTAAACATACACATTCCAGTCGAAAGGAATATCCTATACATAGAAATATGTGGAGTGTCATAGACATACAGCAATTTACATTTCTACATTAAAAATGTTGTTGCAGAAATTCAGCTATGTGGTCCCCAACTCCAAGTCAGTTACTTTGGATTCCCAGCCTTGTGATGAGGCCCCCTTTCCTTCTCTTTTACCCACTGTGTCAGGACAGCTATCCACCAGACAGAGGGTGACTACCCACCGCAGTGTTTAAAGATATATTAGACAGTGCAATCCAATCAAGGTGTGTTTGGGTTTGGCCAAAGAATGCTCATCATACCCATTTACCATCACATTTCTAGTTGTGATTATTCCAGTTGTGTCGAGTTGCACCTGTGAATTAATGGCAGTAAACATGTTTTCGAAGTAGGAGACACAAAATACAAAGCCAGGTGTGTAGCAGATTTAACTCTCCATAAATAAACAAGGTGCATAATATTTACAGGGATTCAGACAGCTTAAATTTGTTGCAGAGCTACATTATCCTCCCTTTTACAATATATTACAGGCCAGAGGCAAAGAATGGAGAAGTAAAGCAGCACAAACAGCAAGCTTGCTGGAAGTGTAAAAAAAACCACAAAGATTTCTAAGTGGTTTTGAAGAAGTATTCCTTATAGGACTTCTACCCTATGGGTGCTATAAGTAAGGCTGTGTTTTAGTCACAGGTATTTTTAGTAAAAGTCGTGGACAGGTCACGGGCAGTAAACAAAAATTCACAGCCCGTGACCTGTCCATGACTTTTACTATATACCCCTAACTAAAACTTGGGCTGGGGGGCCACTGGTGCTGGGCGGAGGTGGCCTGGGATTCCCGCCAGTGCTGGGGGGGAGGCAGGCAGCAGCGTGCCGCCCAGGACCCCCGCTGGTGCTGGGGGAGAGGGTTGGTGGGGCTGGCAGACTCCCTGCCTGGCTCCTCCTGGCATGTTCCTGAAGTTCCTAGAGGGAGGGGCAGCCAGGGGGGCTCCGCGTGCTGCTCCTGCCACAAGCACCGGTTCTGCAGCTCCCATTGGCCGGGAACCGCAGTCAATGGGAGCTGCAGAGGTGACACTTGCAGGCACGGACAGCGCACGGAGCCCCCTGGCCCCTCTGCCTAAGAGCTGCAGAGACATGCCAGTTGGAGCTGGGGAGCTCCCTCCCCCCCCCGAGGTAAGTGCCGCCCCACACCCCAACACCCTGCCCCAGCCCTGAGCCCCCTCCCACACCCAAACTGCTGCTGGCCCAGGGGCAGCTCGTCTCAGGCAACCCCTGAGCCAGCTGTACCAGCTGCCAAAGTCACAGAAAGTCACGAAATCCATGATCTCCGTGACAGACATGCAGCCTTAGCTATAAGCAACCTATCCTGCCACTGGTAAGGGATCTGAAGACCTGACAGCTGCTAAATACTGAACTCTCACTGTGAATCAACAAAAGCACATGGTCTTCACAGGGTACAACAGAATAGTGCCATTGTCCTGAAGCTCATTTTTGTGCGTGTGGCATGTAACACAGCAGCATGTTGGAGCTTTGCTTCTTAACAAACAGGAGTCTCCCTTTCTACATTCACAAGCAAGTTTCTGGACAGCATGTCATAAGAGCATGAGACAGAGGGAGGGGACAGTGAAAGCAGTGTGGTCTAAAAACTAGAGTAGTGGACTGGGTGTCAAGACTTGTGGGTTCTGTTTTCCAATCTATCTCTGACTTATTCTGTGACCTTGGAAATGTCACTTATCCCAACTTTACAGATGGGGAAACTGAGGGGATATTTCCCTACCTCCAAGATGTTATCATTAAATGTTTGTAAAGCACTTTGAGCTCCTCATATAGACGGGGACACAACAGAAAGGCAATGCTTTTTCTTTTTTTTCTTTTTTTTTAAATAGTGTCAATAATGCACCTTCACAATGTACATGTGCATTTCCTGTAGGTATTTTTGTAGTTGCTATTTTACTTACATTCAAGAAGAGGGGCATCTTTAGAAGTGATGCTGAAGAATTACCATGAAGCAACAATCTAAGAATTTCTTTGCTCTGAGTGGTTTGTGTTTCAGCTTTGGTTATTTAATTATATAAGCGAGGTTCAGTGGTTGCATTGTGTACTTACCAATAGGTAATGTGGATTTTTTTTATTTCATTGTGCATGTGCAGAGAGCATACCACATTAATTACCTTCACATTCATTACCTTATGCGCTACTGGGGAATAATTTTAAGACAAACTTTCTTTTTCTTACAGCTGACGGCAAAAGCAAAAAAGAAGGATTAATACTAATGGAGAAGAGGAGCAGCAGCAGGAGAGGCCCTCACTTTAATGACTTGGTTGTCCAATGAAAATGAGTGTGCATATCTGCCCATCCTAATGGATAGAGAGGCTTTTCAGTTTTCCGTAGTTTAATATGCATGTTTCATTCTGATTATTAGAAACCTGTAAGGGGGGGAAAGCCTGGGACTTAAGTCAAAGAAAACATTAGGACAGGTTAACAGTACTCTAGAGCAGCGGTTCTCAAACTGTGGGTCAGGACCCCCAAGGGCTAGCGTTACACGTTCTGGGGTCCGGGGCTGAAGCCGAAGCCCGAGCCCCAGTGCCTGGGGCTAAAGCTGAAGCCCAAAAGCTTCAGCCTTGGGTGATGGTGCTCAGGTTCCAGGCCCCCACCTGGGGCTGATGCCCTTGAACTTTGGCTTCTTCCCCTCTCCCTGGGTGGTGGGGCTCCGGCGGGCTCAGGCTTCAGTCCCCCCTTGTGGGGTCATGTAGTAATTTTTGTTCTCAAAGGGGGGTCATGGTGCAATGAAGTTTAAGAACCCCTGCTCTAGAGGATCTAAAGCAAAAAACTTGCTCAAGGTAGCCTTTTCTCACAAAAACTTCCTTTTAACAGCTGTACCACTTATATGATTGCCAAAGCATGATCCACAGTCACATAAAATGCTTCAGTTCAAAACAAGAGAATAACTGTGTAAGTTAATTTGATTTTCTCTTCCCTTTAGAAGCACACAGATTTC